GGGGGGGGGGGGGGGGGGGGGGGGGGGGGGCAAAATGTGTATAGAATGACTTTTTCCCAACCCTTGTGACCAAGGTTGTAGTTAAAATCATAAGTAAGTACATAAAATTAAAATAATTAATTGCAATAAAGGATATAAAAATATAACATTGTCAATAATATATTAAGTAAATTCACAAATTAAGAATTTAATAATTGATATGTAAAGCTACGTGTACATTTGTTCCTTGCAGGATTTCCACTTCAAGCACCATTAGTATATCATTATGGTCACTTGTCACCTGGACCAAATGAGAAGCTATACAACAAGATATCCAGCAAAATTGCTGAAGTCACAAAGGAGAGGTTTGAAAAAAACAAGAAAGGTGAGCCTCTGTTTTCCCAGCTATAGGCATACCTGTGTACATGTACTGTATGTTGAGCTTAATTTTTTTAAATTTTGTTATTTTCCTTTGTTCTGATGTGCTGTAATATATTTATTATGTACAGCATGTGAAACAAAGGGAAATTATACCAAATTGTCATGCAACAGGCAAATTACATGTAACTACAGTATCTCCAAACTTAGGCAACTTTTCCTGGCTTCTTTGGACATCTTCACTGAACTGAAAACTAGGAAAAGCCTTGTCATATTTTGATCAAAAACTAAATTCTCCAAGAATATGGTACGGTAAGAAACATAGGATTATTTACATGTAGATGCATACTGATGTGAAGTGTGTTGCATTATAGCTCGAGCGAGTGGCTGTATTATCAATACCTGTGGCTGGGTGACTGGAACTGGTTATAGAATTCTGGTTCATGCAGCTGAAGCATTTGATGGTATGTAATACTTAAAAAAGAAAAACCAAGAGATCCATGTACATGTATAAGAAAAGAGTTTTCATCGATCCAAACCATGTGATCAAAAAGTAACATAATGAGAAACTGTTGTCTGTGGTAACACAATGATAATTATTATTGTTGTAAGCTTTAGGTTTGTAGTAGAACCTCTCTATCCTGCACTCAGTTATCTTGAAATACCCACTCTCTTGAGCTCAAATCATTTCCCCTTGGATGTACTTTTTAGCCACATACTATTGAGAAGTACAAATATACATGTATCTATTTTTTTTATTTCCCATAAGAGTTTAAGATAGCAGGCTTCAACTGTACTTACATGTACTAATCTTGCAGTTAATGTTTCTGTCCATGATACCTGATGGTTATAAAGTATCCACAGGCTCACTTAATACATGCACAAGAGGTAGCTTACAGACACATCTGAAATGAAACAAAATAATTATTATTGATTTACAAAAATGCAAATTTGCATTGCAAATCTTTGTATAACATGTACACTGTATGCCAGTACCATATGTGGCTTATGTACATGTACATGTGGGGAAGGGTGGAGTATGAGGGTGCTTATGCTTTACACTGTACAGAGTAGGTCAAACTTTGCAGAACCAAACCAAGATAAGCTCATTGAATGTGACATTGAACTTAATCAACTTAATACAGTGTATGTGGTAATATAATTTTTTGAGATTAAAAATTATTATATTTAACATTGAGCATATTGTGCTGTTACTGAGAACTTCTGTCTTCATGTACATGTATTCTTCATCATTTAATTTACTTTTTGAATCTTTCAACATTTTTTAGTGGATGTAATAGTTGTTCTTGATCAAGAAAGAGTCTACAATGATCTCAAGAAGCAGTTTGGTAACAAAGTCCAGATTGTACATCTTCCTAAATCTGGTGGGGTAAGGAAATTGTTTAACTGTCCTGGAATGTGTTGGCCAGCTATTACAATGTACTGTCATATAGCAAAAGTTTGATTTACATTTTAAGTTAATTGCCATGGATAAAATCAAAATTAATATCCCTCGACTTTTAAATTTTTGGAGATAAATCATACAACATTAATGCATTGATCATCAAGCAGACTGTTGAGAAGAATAAAGAAAATGATTATTAATTAAGCGACAGTGAAGATCTCACAGGAAAGTCTGACTGATCAATTTATCACAGCTAACTAGCAACTCCTAGACTGCGAGTAGTCTATCTTTCGCTCGAAAATATGTTGGGAAGAACACAAATGAACAGAGGTGAACAGCAAAGCTATGAGCAGCTGGGTGTAGGGTGGGTGTTGGCAGATGAGTGAAGGGGTCTCTTCCCTTGAGGATCTTCAAGCAAAACAGCGACTGCTCACTGTTGACTTGGTAAACAATTAAGGTAATTCCTTAGTATTGCATTGCGCGTCCCCACTGCACACGATTTTTGTGTCATTAGTGCGCACACATGACCACGTGTGCGTACAAAACTTAAGAGATTTCCCTCAAACTAAGCTCGATAGTGAAATAAATGCTCCTTTTCTCTCAAACGAGCATGGTGACCCCTGATTTTTTTTTTCAGGTATTTGCTAAAAACCGTCTAATAAAGAAGATATTTGAAGAAGAAAAAAAGTTTTACAGTGGAACATGAATTTTTTTGAAAATAGTTCAGTACTAGGTGTATTTTGGCCAAGGCAAAGACTTCAAGCTAACCACGGAACTGTCCAAAAAAGTGCAATATTCCCAAAACCAGGCAATCAAAAACGGCTTGAATGAAGCAATACTGCTTATGTGAATAAAAGAAGCTTTACTTTAAATATAAAATTTTGTCTTTCAAGTAACCAAGACTTAATTCTGTATGAAGGTGATTCGAATTGTTAATGCGCAACCAATAAAAATACCCCATTTTAAGAGTATGCTGACGTGTAAACAAGCACGGTGACCCCATTGTTTTATTGCATTTTTTAATGTTCATATCATGAATGTTATTTACATGTAAGCCAAGTTTCAAACAAAGTTTGGTAGTAAAACAATTTCAAGGGAGTTACCTTAAACAGTACTGGTAAGACATTACTTTCAAAAGAATCAATACCTACTGTTAAACTCCTTTGAATTACGCTGAGTGAAGTGTTACTGTTGTGCAATTGGTCACGCTACCGTGTGCACCTTTAGTCCTGGGAAGGGCTTGTGCTTACTACAGTCTGTACGTGCAAGTATAATGTCACCCACATCTACATACATGAACACAGTTTGCGTATGATACATTGTAAGTTCAACTGGAGACATGAAGCTCAGTGGAGCTAAATGTCCATGTACAAATGTACTATTTTTGAAGAATGGATTTATTTTGAAATCAAGAAACACAAAACTAAGAAATCCTAACAAGTTAATTGTTGTGTTTACATGTACTTGCAGGTGGTTGTACGTAGTCAAGAAACTCGACGGACTGCAAGAGATGAGAGAGTGAGGAACTATTTTTATGGAATGAAGTTAAATTTTTATCCTCACATTTTTGAGGTCCGATTTGCAGACATAAAGATTTTCAAAATAGGGGGTTAGTAGAATATCTGCTTTACAGTAATTTGTTAAATAAAGATAATTGGTTTTTTTTGTAACTTTATAGCCTTAAATGAAGTTGAATGCAGATGAAATGATTATATATTTGTATATTCTTGTTGTTGTACAACTGATGAGGTGAAAGCAAATGCTCAGTGTGAAAGTCATCAAATTTGTGTTCAACCTGTTTGCAAAAACTCCACCTGTTTTGAATACTTAATATATGAAACAATTGAAAGTTTCCTAACTCATCACAAAAGTCAAAGAAGTACGTGCACAGTGTATGATGTAACATTGCCATAATATTACTTGCAATGTTTTACATATGAATCAATTTAAATTTGTTCAACAACATGGTAACAAACTGTGAAACCTACCAAGCCAGGCCCAGGTTGTTCGATAGGTGGATAACGCTATCCACTGGATCAAAAAGTGGATAGCGTGGTTTGTTTTGTCAACACTTATCCACAGGATAGTGATTTATCTGGTGGATAGCATTATCCTACCTTGGAACAACTGGGGCCAGAACTGCAAAAAACACATGACCAGTTTTGTTCGAGCTGCACACTGTAGTGTTCAATCAAGTGATCTAACTTTACTGTGGTTCTCTTGAAAACATTCAGCTCCAGCTGTCCCTGACTCCTGTCTTCCACTGGGGATGGCTCCAGAACAGAATGAAACCAAACTGGTTCCAGTGCAGCCGGGTAAGATATTCAAATGAGAAAAGTTAACTGGGAAAAGGGTTACTAGCAATTGTTTCATGCTTTGGTGTGCATCATTGAGTTATGATGCATTGAAGAAGTTTGGAGTGCTTGAAAGAAGCATGAGAGAACTTTGCTCCGGGGGCAGCAACCTCTTTACTGTAACTTTTCGTTGTCATGAGTGCTTTTCTTCTCTTACATCCACACATAGATAATTTTTTGACTCTACAGACTTTGTTCTTTATTATTGAATGTAAAACTAAAAAGAGAAAAAGTGTAACAGGCATTGGAGCACAAGAGCTACACGTACATCGTAGATCTGTGGGAAGGATCAGACAAAGTTTTAGTGACACTCCACTGACAGTGCTGGTTATTAACTTCTTTCCTCACAGGACGTGACTTAAAGCATTGTGTGTTAGCACTGAGTGCAGCTGAATCTTTGGAAGAAGACTTAGTCACAACAAATGCAGTAGGCTTTGTTGTCGTGTAAGTTGCTTGACTCTTTTTCATTTGTTTGCACATATCAATACCCAAGATAGGCAAACTGACTGAACACTCATGCACATGACCCCGCTGTAGGCATGCACATGTAAGCCTGTTAGTCCATCACTTACAGAGAGCAAATCTTATAGAGGCACTGATCTGAACAGTTTCAGTCAATTACATTATAATTTGTTCAAACTGTTTCTGTCTTTTCAGGAATGAGGTTGATTTAGATCGCCAGATGATGATCGTGTTATCTCCTGCTCCAAGGCCATTGCCAAGAAAGTTCTTTTTACTCAGTGACGTCAAGTTTATGGACTTTAAATGATAATTACATGTATTTTTATCACTTTATAACACTCTGTACAAACTTAAATGAGACCAGAAACCTACATTTGTAAACATACAGTCATATACGCGTAATGTTCCAAATGATCTGTCAAGGTACACTTACAGGTGAACAGTAATATCATGAACAGAATCATGAGCGCTATAATAATAATTATTTTTAAAATTTTCAGAAGGAGCATATGGAAAGTGTCAGACATACATGTAATAATTTTATTATTGTAACCAAAGAAAAAGATTGTCACAACTTATTCTCACAGATTCCATGCATTTATTGTACATTGTTCAATATGCACCCTTTGTGTTCCAAAGATTAATACTTGCAAGTACAGTTATGTTACTGACTTGCTAGTTTTTGTACTTGTTTATTATGTGAATACTGATAGTTTGCTAGATAGAAACTACTTTCTTAAGATGGGGAATGGGATCGACAACAAATTATTCTTCTTTGATGCCAATCACAGTGATAACTTTGTTACTGTGAACCCTTCTCAACCTGTATTCTCTCCTTACATTTATATCAGTATGACAAACATTAATTTTGTTATGACATACATTTAATTTTGTTAAGTTGACTGGTGCTAAGAATTATGTAATACCTGGAAGTTGATTTGAGAGGCTGGACTTGTAAACTATTTCTGATCAAGCATTATTTGAAATAAACTTTTTTTTATTTTATTTTGTTTTTTTGTTTCTATAATGTTACATGTTTAATAATACTCATTGCTAAATCTATTTTTGTTGGGGGTCAAGTTTCACTGAGAGTGCGTTAACTTCAATTTTGTTTTTAATCAGTGTGAAAGGTTCCACATTTCCGTTCTTGGCCCCAGTATTGTGAATGTTTTGTTGTTGTTCAGGATTTTTTCCCCTGTTTTCACACAGCTCCAAGGTCTTCTTCGAGTTTTCCACACTGCATTATGTGAAACATGTTTATCCTCAATTACATGAATTAGTCACAAACTACAGTAGTTAAAAGTAGTCTTTTGCCCCCTTATTTCCCCTTATAATTTAGAGCCTAGTCATAGGGGACCTACACACTTATTTGTGAACTGTATGCAATCTAAAACAGAAATAGAGGAGTAGAATAAACTTGCCCATTGTCGTCTTGTTAGCATTGTGTGATTCAATACATGTACTTTCTTTTGATCTCCATTAAAAAATATGGTTGCTGCAATGTCGCTTTGATCGTAACTACCTCTATTGTCTGGGTGCTGTCACGCTGTCGTGTGTCTTGCGTCTCCCATTTCACCATTGGTTATTAATTTATTAACAGTTTGAATGCAATGAGAACAGCGTGACAGCACCCAGACAACAGAGGTAGAAACGATCGAGGCAAATTTCATAAATAACCGTGTGGGTTCCCTGTTGCCTAGTGTACAGAATACATGACTGTGTGCAGCATGATTGGTCATTCATTAGTTGTACTGTCCAGCTCACTGAAATTTAAAGCTGTTTTTTTTTTTTTGTTGCTGAAATGTCTTGAGATGTTTTTTTAACATTCATTGCAAATAAAAGTTTAAAACCTTTTTTCCTTCTTGTTTCAGTGTTAAACTGTGATAGTAGTATGATAATTATTGACAGTTTTCTACAACTCTGTTTTGGAGCTGAGTTCCTCAAAAAGTCTGGTCATTTTAGTTTTGATGATACTTATCCATCTTTGTCAATTACAGGGTTTGAGCTATCAATAAGTTAATTAATAAATAAAAATATGCATTTATAGAGACTTAAAGAAATGACTAAATACAATAGATCAGATTAACTGAACTACAGCCTGGAAGAATGCTAAGTACTGCCAACAGCATTGCCAATGATGCTGGACAATAAATTATAGCACAAAAAATAATAAACACTTCAAACTATGGAGCATGATGCTAAGTGAATTAAGACCAATTCACTGTTGTACATGTTAAGCATCCAGTTTATCAAATAATGTTTTGTTTTTGTACGCTTATGGTGCAAGCCTTTCATAGACCCAACCATCCACCCCTTTCTTTGTTAAATTCTCATCAATGACCTCATCTGCCTCTGGTTTACGAAACAAAATTCTGTCATGAAGCCTGCTGGATTGTCCTTGCCAGAACTCCACTTTGTCTGGAATTACTTTAAAACCACCCCTGAAAGTAACACATTTGACAAATTAAAATTCTTGGTCTTATAATAATGAATGTGTGCCTGGAAAATAAGCACTTCCTCATGACATGAGGGATATTTTGTGTCAGGTGGCATAAAAATACCTCCCAAAAATTTGGTTGCACGTTGTAATAACTGTCAACTGTGAGTGTAGTGACTTATCAATAGAAGAAAGTTAGAATCCCAAACTGGAATACATGTAGTCATGAAAAGGAAAAAAAAAAAAAAAAAAACAGTCTAAAATTCCATTAAAAAATAAATTCAACCAAACACCCAATTCTAAAAAGCGTGAGTTAAAACCTTAAAATCAAATTCCCCATCAATGATAACCTGATATCCTCTTAAAGATGATTTCCAGTCTGTAGTGCGCAGTCTCAGCACCCTAATATTTATTTAAATATCATAAGTTCTCACTCGATGTCCAGAATAAGAATCAATGTTATTCGTTATGAACCACATACCTTATCTTTGAGGCCTTTCAAATTCTTTTTCCAACAGTATCATTGATTTTTACAGCTACGAAGTTGTTTCATCAAGTGATATGAGGAAGAACGAAGTATAAAGCTTTGACCGCTTTGCAACCATAATGGGGGTTGTTTTGAAACTTTGAATTTACTTGATCAATGTAAGTAGTTGCAAAATGTTTACATTTTGTGATGTCTTACATGAAGTAAAACAACAAAAAACGCAAACAAATCCTCAAGAATGTGCAGTATGGACTGGAAATCGTCTTTAATATCTACCAAGAAATTCTGAGACTAACACAAACAGAAGATAATTGATGGCAACTCGGGCGATTTTTGTTTGGAGACTTGGGTGTCCTTCTCACTCCTGTAATGAGCTTAGTGCATTATTAATGGTCAACAATTATTTATGACTGCTAATAAATTTTAAGAAATGTAAAATCCCTACTCACCAGTGTTCTGGCTTAGGAATTAGTTTCTGTTCATCAGCATATTCTTCTTTCAGTTCATTCTCCTTTGTTTCCAAAACCTTCAAATAACACAGTTGATACAACTATCTGTGAACTCGCAACCTATACCAAGTAGCTGACGGGCAACTCAGGGTGACTCAACCAGTATCTATCACACACGTAGCAATGCAAAAGGGAGTTGTGAATTTTTAGAATCAAATGCATCAAACAGATCCCTTCATTTACAATTCAATCCAAACATGTACCACAGAATTTTTCCATTTTTCTGATTAACTTATTGTGAGGTTGCAGTCCTAAAAATGATCAGGTCCACCCATCCACACTGTTTGGCTGGCAATGTGTACTTCATTCTTTCAAATTACAGATCTGATATATGTGCAAAGTGAAGGTGTGGTTGCATCATGTTTAGTGTGCTGGTCTCTGGATCAAGTGGTCTGGGTTCAAGTCCTGGCTGGGGACATTGTGTAGTGTTCTTGGGCAAGGCACATTACTCTAAAAGTGCCTCTCACCACCCAGGCAGGGGTTTCATTACCGTTTTCAGAGGGAAGGCAACTGGTTTTCACATTGGGCCAAACTATTAGTCAGAACTGAACTTCTTTGTAAGAAAAACTTTCTGCTAGATGATCAAACCAGCTGGGCAATATTGTCCTTTCAGCTGGTCAATTTTCCCGGTACCTGGCCCTTAATGAAGCCCCTGCCCAGGTGTATAAATGGGTACTGAGGAATTTAATGCTGGGGCGTGACCCTGCAATGGACTAGCATCCTGTCCAGGAGGGAGTGGATATACTGTCTCCAGTAGTCCCTTCATGCTACAGAAACCGAAGATAAGCACCGCCCTGATGGGCTGCTAATGGCGCTTGGCTTGTCTAGAGACTATATAAGCAGACAGTTGTTTAGCTATATAGCACTTACATGCATTGCAGGTCTATGATGCTAGCTATTATACTATGGGGATCATGATCTCTACATTTTCACTAGCAAAAGACAACCTAGTAAATTATGGAAATAACTGATGAACATACAGTACCTCTCTGCTTGCAATGACTGAGCTCTGGGCACTAACAATAGCTCCTATTTGACTTCCTCGAGGACGAGAATGGAAGTACTCCTCACTTTCTTTAGCGGGCAGCTTTTCCACTCTTCCCTCAATTTTTATCTAAATAGAAACAATGCATGTGAGAAACAGTAACAATTTACAGGAAATTCATTTGAATTGGACAACATTATTTGTGGAAATCATATTATTTTGTGTTCAAGTAGGAAGCACCTTGTACACATATGTACCTGTCTGTGTAAGGGATGCCAGTAAAACAACAAGCTGGCGTATGGGTTTTCTTTCTGAAAGAAAAAACAATGGTTATAATATTATTAATGTACAATGTAGCTGGGGTTCACAACAGATTAACGTTCATATAGATTTCAAGCTTAAATCACTGGTTAGTGTCTTATAAACCTGCTAAGACCTCCTCTGGTGGTGTGTCTTGATGTGGTAAGGAGGCTTGAATGCCCTCATGACCCCAACAGCTATGTCATGCCCCTGGTAGGTTCAACCAAGCGGGATCGGTCCGTGGGAGAGGGTCCTGACTGAACATACATTACCCTGGTCCTTAAATTTCTTGACTTTATCCACTCAATGGTTAATTTAATTTAATTTTTTTTTACTGCGTGACAGTGAAAATGATCTATTAAACCTCGTATCATACAACTCAAAGGCTGGTAATCACGCTTGTAATTTGAAATCAGCCTCACACTGCACCCTTATCCAATTTAGTAATAACTAACCCGATTTGCTGCATAAAATTAAGTGGTACACGGCGTGGTAACAAATCGATAAAAGCGCCTCCTCACATGTGACGATATCATTTTTATCCAACCTGATATCATTATTTTTTTGATATCACTTTGGACCCCTTAACTATACTTAAATCTGTTGGTGTACATGATTGAAACATCTCTGTAACTTCCTCAGAAGTCTTTGGCGATCTTTGGAAATCTTTGAAAATTTTCAGAAAACGAACGATTAGTTATTTGCCATACCCAAATTTGGCCAAATGAGCACGATGTGGTAGCCATATCAGGTCAGTGACCTGATATCGCAGGACATCAGGGCAGTAGACACAGCTTCTGATTGGCTAATTACAAATTTGGGTACAGTAAGGTGGCATTGGCGTATCGGGCCTCTTTAGTCATGGGTATTTTCTAAAAATGGCACAAACCATGGTTCGACCAAACTCACCTGATATGCCAACCAACATGCGATATCCGATATGCGAACCAATAAGGTACGATTAGATATAACTACTCCCTGAATTGCACTCCACTTGCTCTAATAACTATTACATAATCATCAAATTATGTAAACACTCACCAATTGTTCTCCTTTTTTGCTGTTATAATTGGTGAAAAATGTGAATCCTGTTTTATCATAACCCTTCAGCAACACAACCCTTGATGTTGGTCGGCAGTCACTTTAAAATAGAAAACATTCCAAAAATAATGTGTAAATCGCTCTACCGGCAACTCAAAAATCAACATGGCGGTCACCACAATCGCTAGTCAAGTGTTACGTAACAGGAAAAACTTCATTAACATGTAAAACAACGAAAGTCTTTGATATCACAGCGAAACTCAGAACTTACCTTCCACAGGTTGAAAGAATCATAGCATTAGCTTCTCCGACATTGTAAGCCTTCGTGGCTTCTCTGAACCAAGCATCAAACTGCATGAACGGTTCCCTTGCCACGAGGCCAGACTCGTCAAAACCGACAGGCATTTTGTAGTCCATTCTCATCGCCGCGACATCTTCTTTGCGTAACATAGTTGAACATCCACCGAAATGACGACTTATTTCAGCAATCCTTAACACAGCCCTGGATGTTCTCCACAGCTTGAACGAAAATGCAATCATCTACTCCCTCGTCTACGGTACATGTATGTCACGCTATCTTACTCAAGTGTGCCAAGTTGGACAGGAAAGGGACTGGGAGTGATAAAAAAAAAATACGCCTAGACCCTAGGCTCCTCTTCGGGCCTTGGATGTTGCATAACTTTTCAATTTTTTTGAGTTATTTTTTTGTAAAAAAAAAAAAACCTCTTAGTCGGCGCGTCGGGTATGTTAAGGACGGGTCAATGGATAAGTGAGTGAGTGAATGAGTGAGAGATGTATGTGTGTCACGCCAATCAGATTGGATCTACTATAAACAGCCAATCAAATTTCTTGTTGTAAAGGTAAATGGTATGTGGGAAGATTTGATCCCGACACAGTTTA